TATGTGCGTATGTGGTATTTTGGGGAACTCACTAAGCATTTATGCTTACAGTTGTTGTGTTATGTGTTTTAAGTACTAGCGAGGATCGCGGGAAGGCTCCGGCATGATCCGTACACACTCATGGAGTTTATGTCTTGAGATTCTGGGATATGTTTGTTATGATAACATTGGATACATTATGTTTTGATATTACCTTATGAATAAAAGTATGTTTTAAAAATGAAAATTTGTTTTGGAAATTTACGTTGTTACATATTGAAACTAGAATTACAAAATAAGTTTAATATAGTAATCAAAAGCAAATTAAAACGTTTTAGCACTTGTGTACTTTGTAGTTGAAGTAAACATGTTTCTTTTATAAAACATATACATGAATAATATAATCGTTTATTCAATAAATTAATACAAACAACATGTATTAATAAAATAATAAAAATATATTTTATTCTTCTTTCATATAGGGAATGCACTTACAGTGCAATCCCTTCGTATTAGAGTTGCCAATAGGTGTCTATGTGTCATGTCACGGGTTGAACAATAAAAGAAAATGGTAAATGTCTGAATGAACTATAAAATGCATATTGATAACATAATCGACACGACCCATAATTAATTAAGGTAACACCTGAAAGACAAATATAATATACTTTTAACCATTTACATGAAAACACAAACTTATGCATATTTTTATTAACCATTGAGATTATGTATGCATATGATGACTTCCGCCCTCCGTCTCCACCACCATTTAACAATAAGGCCAACATTAAGTGTGCACAAAGACCCCACACCCTATCCTCCATTATCAACTGAAGTTGTGACTTTATCGCACGAGACCCAGTGAATTTTGGATTTATTGTCATACCCACCCCAGAGGAATCGGCGCCTAATCTTTTCCAGAGCATTCAACACCCCTAATAGGGCCTTAAACAGAGAGAGGTAATATGTGGGGAGGTTGCCAAGAACTGCTTTTAGTAAAGTGAGTCCGCTTTTAGTAAAGTGAGTCGCCCTCCGAATGAGAGGGTCCTAGCTTTCCAAATTGACAGTTTTGGAGTTGAATAGATCAATTATGGGTTTCCAAATTTTTAGTAAGTTTATGTTAGCTCTAACAGGCACGCTCAAATATTTGAATGGAAACGTTACCACTTCACATCCAAGAATACTTTCCCACATGCTTATTTCACTAGGGGATGCCCCGATGCCCGTGAGGACGATAGCTAGTCGAGAATCCAGGTCCTCCACTTTTCTCTAAAGCCCATTTGTGAGAGTATTGAGCCTAGATACTCCCAGTTGACCGATTCAAATGCTTTATCAAAGTCAACTTTGAATATGAATGCCTTTTTTGGTTTTTTTAGTCCATGAGTATATTCCGTTGACGATTAGCGGTCCGTCAAGGATGTTACGACCTTCAACGTACGCTGATTGTTCATCCCTAATAACACCATTGATCATATATTTGAGGTGGCATACAAGAATTTTAGCAACAATGTTGTACCTGATCACAATTAGGCTTATCAGCCTATAATCGCTAAGTAGATTGGGGTCTTTCTTCTTGGGAACTAGAGTGATGCGAGACGAGGTATAGCTACGAGCGAACTTGACATACATTTCAAAGTGTTTGCAAAATTCCATGACATCAAATTTCATGAGGTCCCCAATAGGTTTTTACAAATTTAAACATAAACTCGTCCGAACCTGGGGCCTAATCACTGCCGCAGGCCCACACGACAACCTTGATTCATTTAAAACAAGTATTTATGTTAGATAGGTTAGGGTTTAATCAAGTGGGAGAATTTAAAACTTTAATAATAAATGTGTTCGTGTATTTATGTGTGTTGGACACAAAGTATGTGTCACACTATGTCTTTCATATACGTTTAAACAATTATATATATGTATCATTCGTCTAAGATACAAAACACGAATTTAAAATTTAAAATTCGTGTCAGCAAGACTTAACACAAATTTTTGAAATCCCAATTTTTAAAATGCTATTGTAGCACATCATGTTTTTCGTTTGGTCCGATTTGAACAACTATATCAACTTTTTGCACCATTGACCATTAACATTTTACTGTAGATGTCAATTACACCATTGTGACCGCTTTTAGAAGTTTATCCGGTTTCTCATCCTACCTGTCATCCAATGTGTACGGTAAACTAATGGGAAACTGCCATGTTTTTTCCACGTTGACTCTACGTCAACTCCCCTGTTATACAAAAAACATAACACCTGTATATGGAACACCCCTACCTTCTTTCTTTCCATTTTCATGTAAGCTTTTCTCGACCAAAGAAAACCAAAGCAATGTCTCGTTCCTCGATCTCTTCTTCCAGAAACCCTCCCATCCAGATTGGTAACTTTAGGAGTTAGATGAGCTGAAGGCTTGTGGGTGTGAGAAGTCGGCGAAGGAACGAACGAGCTGGAAATATCACAACCCGGGAAGGCAGTTCTGGAACTGTTGCAACAATTTGGTAAGTTCTCATGGTCGTGATTTCTGTTAATGTTCAAAAATCATACAATTTATAGCATTTCTGATGTTTATATAAGCATAAGAAATCCCTAATAGTGTAATGTCGGTGATTATTATGAAAATTTTGAAAGGAATGATTTGTTTGTAGGATCCCTTTGTTTGTAGCATTTATGTGTTGTATCTAACTGTAAGATCTCATACGATTTGACAATGGTGTATATTTTTGTGTATATTTCAGACATCATTAAAAAGCTATGATTACTTCTTCTAGGAAGACGATGAGCTGCCTGAGGGGTACTACAACAACCTTATTAGAACATTAAAGCAACATGTAGATTCAAAGGAGAACTCTGTTGAACTGATCAGCCTTAGGAAGAAGGTTGTGGAGTTGGAGTTTCTGCTTTCAAAGGAAAAGTCATTTGTTGACAAGCTTGAGAAGAATATAACAAAGGAGAAGCAAGTTGTGATGATGCTTAACAACAAATTGGAAGCTTCCATACAGCAAAATTTCATGTTGAAAGTTTTGGTTGTGATGATTCTGTTGGGTGTTGCACTTTGGTGCTTTAAGTAGAAATGAATATTGTAGGATGTTTTGGTATATGTAGTTATCTTTTGGTGTTTATGTACTACTTTTGGAAACTTCAAAGACCCATGTTGGTTGTAGATCCCAACATTTAGCATCTTATTTTGGAAACTGCAAGACCCATTTGTATGGGAAACTTTGTAATTGTTACCTAATCTAACGACAACTTCATTAGTGGATAAAGTATTTGTTTTTTTTATGTGTGGACCACTATCTTTTTGTCAACTGTGGACCATATTGGTCATTAAAGTATACATAGTCTATTTTGGAAAATGTTAATATCAAACACATTGTCTACTTTAGTCATTAAAGTATATACACATAGAACCATATTGGACATTATCAGCCATGCAACATATAGCTTGACATATTTCAAAAAATAGCAATCAACTTTCATATTTTGTAATAGTGCATAAACTGCATAAAATACTTCCATTAAATACAAAAAATGCCCATAGTAATGGGCAGTTTTGTAATTGTATGTTACTGCATAGATTGTACTAATGGAAAACATAACAACTTCATAACATCAAAGTATCACAACATAACACAAATAAAAACATAAAACATATTAATCCTAATCTATAGGAAGTGATTTCTCTGTTGAATTTACTGGAGCATTATCATCCCCAACTCTCTTGCCCAATTTCACCTTTATGATTCCTTATGATTTTCTTTTCCTTATCCCCTTCAATATTTCAGAAATTGGCTTCACACGGATCCTCCTTTGCACTTGAACTTGGGCACTACCACCAGCTTCATCAACTTGACCATTAACAACACCATCTTGAGTTGGAGTAACTTGCACATCAATTGGAGTGAGTTGCACCTCCTCCTATTCTTGTCCTCCTGGTCCACCTTCATTAACCTATAAATAATGTTTCATTAAACTCAAATTAACATTGTTTCATTGACAATTAACATTAACATTATACATGTCCTCTTGTTTCATTGACATTACTCCATTATTTCCATTATTGCCACCTTCACTAACCTTTTGTTTTTTTTTTCTTCCTTGTGTTACCATCATTAGGTCCTTTTGTAGGGCAAGTAGGCTTATTGTGACAAGGCTCCTTGCAGATGATACACTTGATTTTTTTTTCCAACCTTAGATACCTTATAGCTAGTAAGTCTTTCAACAACACCCTTCTTCCTTTTAGTCACTGGCCTGTAAGGGCATTATTTTGCTAATAGGTGGCAAAAGTGGGATATAATATGTTTGTGGCCACATGTCACTCCCATTCATGGCTGTAAATCTATATTTGTAACTTTTTCATGTATGTGGTGGTACTAAACATCACATCCACATATGCTTCCACATCCCTATTTAGGTATGAGATACATGCTGTAGAATGCACACATTCGTACCTATTCAATTACCACAGCCTACAAGAACATGTCCTTCTGTCAAGGTCAAACTCAAATGCCTCAGCTGTTCCCCTTACTTCAAATTGGTTTATGCCACTTGCTAACACCTCAAAACGTCTCATGTGCTTTTTAAGCTCATTTACCCTTTCCTTTATTTTTGGACAAATCTGATTACCCCATTGTTGTCCTCTCACCTTCATATTGTACAATCTCTCCATCATGTACAATCTCAACTCTTCTAACATTGTTATAATTGGCTTCTTTTTTGCATCTACAATTACAACATTAAATCTCTCACACATGCCATTCTCAACTGAGTCACAACCTCTACCTAGTTGGTAGTATGCCCTTGACCAATTTTTTGGATCCTTGTCCATCAGGTACTTATGTGCCTCTGGGTTTAAAAGTTCTAATTCTTTCATTGTAGCTTTAACTGTATTCTCAGTTGATGCTTTGGATGCTCTCCAAAACAGTGTCTCATAGTGGGCCCCACTATATCTCTTAAGTAAATTCTAACAAATGTGTCTAGCACATTGTCTTTGTTCTACAAAAGGCATCATCTCCTTCACAACCTCAATCAACCCCTGTTAAAAAAAAGAATTTTTTTTCTTGATGTTATAATATGAAATATAATGAATTAAACAATCAAATAATAAAAACACATACCTTATGTTGATCTGACATTAAAGACTATCCATTACCTAAGTTTAAATGAAGATCGTCAATAAGAAGATCTAAAAACCACTTCCAATTCTCCTTGTTCTCAATAGACACCACTGTCCATGCAATTAGAAAGATTTTGTCATTTGCATCGCTACCTATAGCACAAAGCAACTCCCCCTTGCAAATTCCTTTCAAGAAACACCCATCAAGTCCAATTATTTTTCTACATCCTTCCATCCAACCTTTTTTCACACCATCAAAACACACATAGAACTTGTTGAGTATTTGAGATATTGAAACTGATCTGGCATGTTTAGTTATTTAGACAAGCCTTTTTAGGGCTTTATATTTTTGGTAAATATTTTATGTTCCCCATAAATAATCATTAGGTTAGCTTTTGATGTAAGCTTTTTCCTGTTTAGGGTTTTCTTTGTACGTTTAGATCCATATCAATATACACAAAACCTTTATCAGATTACTTGCATATTATGGTGATTGATTCTTGATTGTTCTTGATATTCCGCATTCGTCATCTCATATTTATTCCTAACAAGTGGTATCAAAGCGGGTTCTTGTAGATCTCAACGATTATTACAAGAAAAAGTAAAATATCTCGTATTATTGCAAAACCTTGTTCAGATCTGTTATCTTCTACGCATTCTATCATCTGATTTGTTCTTGATTCGTGTTTTGAAAGAGAAATTGAAGAATTTTGTGTTTATTCTCATATTTGTGTTCAAATCTGCTTTCTCTCTCTAAAAACCATCTCAGATCTATTTTCTCTCTCTTCGATTTTTATTTCTGGTTGGATATATGATGAACTATTCAGTTTCAAAGTTGTTATCTTCGATTAAAGACCTAGAAATGAAAGTTACAGATCCGAAATTTAGACTTTCAAATACAGATCATTGGTATCTTATTTATGGTCCAATAAAAAGTTCTCAAAGTGTCTTTGATTTGTATAATCTCATAGTAGATGGAAAGATTAATAAAGATGCATATTTGAAAAATATAGAAAAACGAATTATAAAATTTTTGGATGAAAATGAGGTTGTGTTGGAACAATTTCGTATTATCAAAAATCATTTGGAACGAGAAAAAGAAGAACAATTGGAGAAAGAAAGAAAAAGAAAAGAAGATGTTGTTCAAAATCAAAAGGATGTTCTTGGTGAAGTTCATAATATTCTTCATGTTTCTGAAGAAAAGATGACTCCAGATGTTCTTGTTGAGGGAGAGTCAAGTAGTTCAAGTTCTTTAGAAGTGTTACATTCTGAATCTGGTACTTCATAAGACGAATCTCAAAGAAATTCTTCTGAAATCATGAAAGTGAAGAAGTTTTGTTCTATTGGAACTCAAACAGATGATGTATTATGTTCTGATGATGTTTTTGAAGGAATGATTCCTTACAGAAGGCCAATAATTCAAGATGTTCAGATTTACCAAACTCCAAAAGTTTGTGTTCCAAAGGCTTGTGATATTCAGACTCTAAAATCTAATGAACATGTTCAGATCCGAAAATCATCTTTGAAGCCTTATAATCTGAAAAGAAAGAAGAAGAAGAAGAAGAAGAAAATGAAGAAGGTTTGGATGCCCAAGGTACAAGTCCCTCAAGCTTGTGAAAAAATTCAGAAAGTTGAAGTCAAGCATGTTCAAAGAAACTTCAATTCTCATTTTTCTTCTGATAAAGATGTTAGAAGTTGGAGAAAAGAGAAAAGAGTATTTGGTTGGTTTAATGAAATTTTCGGAAAATTTTGTTTTCTAACTAAAAAGCAGGTATTATTTCCAGAAGATGATCGATTTTTCTTCAAATAAATGGGTGTGCAAGAAACCAACTTCAATCTTGAATCTTAAATGGGTACCAAACGATTCATAAAAGTTTTGTCCTTTATAAAAAAAGGACAAAACTGACGAAAATTCAATAAAAAAGGATGAAATTTTGAAGGATGAAATCAATTTTTATTGGTTTTTAATGGTTGGAAATGACAAAAAGCTGAAAAAGTTGAAAAAATAGGTGAAAAGTGAATTTTTCTGCAAAAAGAGGGCTGCCATCTGACACATTTCAACAAAAGAGGTGCAAGTTGTCAGTTTACTGCAAAAAGAGGGTCAGATTCGGAATTATTGCTAAAAAGATGTTACTTTCGGAATTTGGGTAAAAACTGCGAGTTCGTTGAAACTTTAAGGGTTAAGTTTGGAAGTTTGGTAAAATTGTTTATGATCGTTTACTGTAACCGGACTTCAAAACTGAAATCAAAGGTTCAAGGAATCGGAAATCACCAATCGGAAATTGATTCTAATTCAGAAATAGAAATCGGAGACTGTTCTGAAATCCACATCTCAAATCGGTATTTTGATCGGAAGCTTCAATCGAATTCTAAATCGGAACTTTTGAAATCGGAATTAAGAAACGGAATTCGGAGTTTACTGTTCATATTCCGAGCCTTCGGAACGATTCGCACTCGGAATGACACGGATTCGGTTGTTCAAAGCCGTTTGGATTCGGAGTTTTAGCCTCAAAATTGAAATTGCATTCGGAGTTCAATGCCTCAAAAATCAAAAATCGGACTCGTATTCGAAAATGATCTCTGAATCGCTCCGAGAGCTCGGAGTCGTTCAGAGTTAAGAAATCCTTTTCTGATTCGGAAGTCTTTTTTATTCGGATTCGGAGTTACTGCAACCGTCGGAACAAACACATTGCGATCGGAATTTCAGTTTATGCACTCGCATGTGTCGATCTCGCAGTCAATGCGTTTCGCTTTTTATTTCGCAATTAGGACTGTTGCTTCCGATATCGGAATCGGAATTGATCGTATTGGTTATGGTGCGCACTTGATTTGCGAATGAAAACGTTTTCATTAGATTTTGACTTTTTAAAGTCAAACAGTGTGTTCCATCCGTCCAGATGATGAAGACGCTTCAATTTAGAACTTCAGTCCCCAAATGTTTGCAAACTTTGTAGT